TGTGAAATGTATTATTTTAGTTCTTGAAAAAGTCACCCCAATAAGGATAAAAACTGGAAATATTTCAGAAGCGTTATTTTTCACTTAATGATGTAATTGTATAGTAGTTACGTATTCTAAACCTATTTAACAGTTTGTAGTTACAGCATAACATTCATACTTACAAATATATAAAAATTACAAGTTTGTAGAAGCTTTATTTTTCAATTTTCTGATGGTGTAATTGGATAGTACCTATGTATATTGATGCATTTAACAGTTTATAGATATAGCATAACATAAAAACTTACAAATAAACAAAAACAAGTTCTAGAATGTTCCATAACGTTCTACAAGTCCACAGAAAGTTCTAGAAGGCTCCATACATTCATAGTACTACTATACATATACTTATATATGATTTTAGAGATTTTTTGTTAAATGTGACATTTTTTAAAATAAACTAAATTAAGTCGTTCTTCATTATTTCTAACAAAAGTTCATAGAATTATGATAAAAGAAATCGATTATTTTACAAAAAATCAAGAAGTCATAAACCTAATATATATATATATATATATATATATATATATATATATATATATATATATATATAATATAATATATATATATATATATATATATATATATATATATATATATATATATATATATAATATAATATATATATATATATATATATATATATATATATACACACACACACATATATATATATATATATATATATATATATATATATATATATATGCAGAAATATAGTTTTAAAGTGTGCTATATTTATGGGATAAAGTGCTCAGTATTAGAGATAGAGCGTATGTAAATATAAAATAAAAGTGAACATTGAAGTCAACACTCAGAGGCGACAGGCTGTTTCATGTTACACGCAATCGTCGGCCTGACAACAGCTTGTCGCCTCTGAGTGTTGACTTCAATGTTCACTAGGGTGTCCTAAAATACGTACTCATTTTGCTGTATTGAAAAATGTTTGTTATAAGTTTGAATATTCGTAATCATGTATTTAATTTCATCTAATATTTAATTTAAACCGTTAATATGTTTTTTAAGTAACTGAATATTAACATCTCTTAATTTTAATCATTAATCTTTTTTGCAAGTCAATAAAACCTTTAATTACTTTGATTTAAAAAGTGAGTATATTTTTGTGACACTCTGTATATAATATTTAATAATAATATTATTATTAATAATAATAATAATAATAATAATAATAATGAAAGAATGGAAAAATAGAACCAAGAATGATGTTAGACAACCTCTAATAATGACAAGGTACTCAACTTTTGGTTCAATCATCTGTCATCAATCCAAATACTATCTAATTAATAACCCCAATGAGATTCCAGAATGGATCACTGAAGCTATTACATATCTACTACCAAAAACTGATGCAACAGATGATTCAAGAAACTATTCGCCAATGCTATGTTTATCCGCCAAATATAAATTAATCATGTCTATCCTGAAGAACTGTACTTACTCTTTTCTCGATGAAAACAGCATTTTTTCCCTGGAATAAAAGCGATACATATGGATGCAAGGATCTATTACTGATAAATAAAATGACCCTGATAAATTGCAAGAAAAATGTTAGAGTCTTTGATAGTAAAACCTTTGATAGTGTGTCCCACACCTGAATGTTTAAGGCATTAGAAATGTGGAAAGTGATAGTACATTTCCTTAAATATAGTATGAAACTGTGGAAAACCACATTATTCCTAAATCACGCCACATCTAATTGTTAGAATATCCATCGATGAATCCCTGTCGCCTCTTCTTCTTTAATCCTCATTTCAGATAAACTAAACAGCAATAACTATGGATAAAATGTAAAAAAAGAAAGAGTTTAAACACTTATTCTACATGGATAATATCAAGCGAAGGAGATGGAATTCAGCACATACAACTGAAGGAGAATGTAAGAAAAGAATACTACAGATGTGTGAATCGGCTCTTAAATACTGAACTGAATTCACAAAACAGAATATCAGCCATCAACATTTTGGCTGTCCCAGTGGTGCAAGAGTGTTTCAACATCAGTAATTGGGCCATAGCTGATATTAAGAGAATGGCTGCCAAAACGAAAAAGCTTCTCACTTGACACCGCATGCATCATCCTAAGGCTCGTCGGTATGTGTCCAGATCCGAAGGAGGGAGAGAATTAGTTCAACTAGAACTGTCTTACAAAAGATTGATTTTCAAAGATACTTAGAAACTACAAAAGACTGTATGATGATCTGTGTCAACGAACATGAAAGAAATAAGAAACTATATACAGTAAAAAAGGAAGCCAACACATTCAAAGGGGAATTTCAAATGGAATGTAAATGAGCCATAATACACCTAACCCAGCGGCAAAGAACCTAAAAAAGAAATCAAAGGCAAATGCAATATACCAAATGCAGAAACAATGGCAAGAAATGCCTTTTCATGGTCAATACTCAGCCCATACCAAACAAGATGATGTAGACAATCCATGTAATCATCAGTAGTTACGTAGTACAGTGTAACCCGGATTTAAGAGAGATGTCGGGACCGGAGAGGAAGTCTCTTATATTCGGGTTTCTCTTATATCCAGGTTTGGTCTATTTTATATATATTAACACAGGCTCTAATTTGGAACCAGAGAAAATCTCTCTTATATCCGGGTTTGTCTTATATCCGGGTTTCTCTTATATCCGGGTTTCTCTTATATCCGGGTCTCTTAAACGGGGTTTCTCTTATATCCGGGTTTGGTCTATTTTATATATATTAACACAGGCTCTAATTTGGGACCAGATAAAATCTCTCTTATATCCGGGTTTCTCTTATATCCGGGTCTCTTATATCCGGGTCTCTTTTATCCGGGTTACACTGTACATGGTTAAATGCTGAAACCGAAGGTTTTATTCTTGCTGGACAAGACTAACGCTTACTAACTAGAAATTCTCAGGTACTGGTACTGAAAAAATGTGTTAACCAGAAATGCAGAGTCTGGGATAAATATCCAGAGAAAATTGCCCATTTTTATAAGGTTTCAAAGTGTTAGCATCTTATAAAACTCGGCAGGATTGTACGGGCCAATATCTGTGCTGGGAAATATGCAACTTTTACAGGAAGGGAGCCGCAAAAACTGCTATGAACATAATCCAGATCTGGTTACAGAGGTAGGACCAGGAAGAAGTTTGTTGAACTTTACAATTACACACAGATAGTAAAATCAAAGCTAATCGGCCAGGCATCATGATCAAAACCGCAAGAACAGAATGTGCTTTCTTATTCATATGAGAGTTAGTGCCGATGTATTTATGATCTATCAAAATACAAGGATCTTAAAGTTGAAATCTCCAAAAATGTGTCATATGAGGTCATCAATAATAAGTTGGAGTTGTAGCCTTCGGATTGATTGCAAAAATTAATTGCAAAAGGTTCCGATAGACTCATCGAAGGGATTCCTGGTAGCCCATATCTTAAAGAAATACAAAAGATTGTACATACAATTACAGCTCACACACTCTTATGAAGAGCTTTATCTATGCATATGTCTGACCTTAGATTTTTTTGTTTGTCTTTTTACAAAGATGATCAGTGAAAAATGTCTTGAAGCTATTTCTGGCGTTTTGTCTCTGGTTGGGGCCCGGAAGGAAATGTGTATACAACAGAAATCACAGGAAATAATAATAATAATAATAATAATAATAATAATGACCGGCTACTAGTTTTCCGAGTACCCTATCTGCTATGGCGGCCTTTTCATTTCCTGTTGTAGATTTCTCGTCAGGCATAATTGTGTTTGTCAAACATAGACAGAGCTCACCTGTGATTTATATTGCAACTAGGTCGAACAGATTCATTTTCGATTACACCTAACCATTTCAACTGTAAAATAATGAGATCATGCCGCCAGTCAAGTACTGCACTTAAGGTTATAAGATCTAGGTGTCAAAGAAGAAGGCTCATCAGAACAATTATCATGGAAATATGTATAAAAAATGTACAGGGAAGCAACGTTACAACGATGAAAAAGTGACTGAAGCCTAGATGCCGGGTCAAGAGCAATAAAATTGCATATTATACTTTGGATTATATCAAGAATGTCTAAATGCACGACAGAAGCATCAGACAAGATGTGACAGCAATATTAGATGCATGGCCGAATTATAGACTTGTAAGATAGATTCTGACGAGAAAAAAATGTATATCGCTATAAAGGGAACCAACTTTCATTGTCCTAGCAGGCTACTTAGCATTGATGCAATATATTTTTTCCACTTCATATAAGAGGAGGATGTTAACCGGAGGAGGCGTTTGGTGTCAGTTTCCTGGAGGATAGCATCAGCCATACTGATGGAAGGCAGAAAATACTTTCACTGCTGATTAAAAAATTAACGAAGAAAGGTAATAATCTACAAGACAAATAATAACATGCGTTTTCAGAATCGCGGCGCTACATTTGACAGACTCTGTTTAATTGTCAATCAAAATAGTATCTAGTCCAGTCCAACTGAATTTAACGAAATCCAAGTGCCATATATTTCTTTGAAAGGCTTTGCTTTATTCATCCGTAAAATACATTTTTTATGTATGAAACCCATAGGAGACGGTAACGTTTCCACTCCAGGTATTCAGTGACGATATACGCAGCTATAAAAAGTTGGCAAGAAAACGGATCTAGACACTGGATGTAATCAAACATTTATGAGAAGCTTGGCATTTTGTTCTTCGTCTTGACTATGCGTATTATATCATAAGCAAATGTTGTACATTAATGGCGTTCATTGTCGACACTGTTGTACGCATGCGTTCTTTTCACATTTTGCGTTTTCTATTAATTAAGAATTCTCTTTGTTCACGACAGTCTTGTCTTGAACCAGCTTCCTGCTAAGTGCATGGCTTGATCTTGCAGAGGTTTTTTTTTATATTTGATACAATGAAAATTAGCTTGTATTCTTGACACTTTAGATTTTTAAAAAAATATATCTTGGTCTTGCTGCCATTTGATGCTGTCTTCTTTCTTCGACTCTGTAGTCCTTGTTCTCATGTGACCTTTCTCGATATTTTCACCGTAGTTAGCAGTAGTATAAACGCCATTTTCTTTTAATATGAAATTCTGTTTCGTCTAGATTTCTGGTATGAGATAGAATAGTTTGAGTGATACAAAAAATGATTGAAAGCAATTGTTATTTCTTTGTCAGGAAAGTTAGGATAGTTTTCGGTAATCTCTGTTCAGATCACGGTGGTGGTTGACTTGGTGAAGGACTGTGGAAACTTGATACCACAAAATAATCTTGAAAAAACAAAACAAAACTGAGTGGAACTTCCCCCTTACAATTTGAAACTCACCTCTTTCTCTCTCTCTATATATACATATATATATATATATATATATATATATATATATATATATATATATATATATATGTATATATATATATATATATATAAAGAAAGAAACAGTAAGATATATAATCCGGTGTTCTTATAGATATTTTTACAAAATAGTGCTCAATGTAAATTTACAGAGCATTAATATTATAAATTAATTGATTTAAAATGTTTTTTTTCCGCCACACAGTTCTAACTATGTTTCAAAAATAGAAGCTAAAGCCCTGAATTTAATTTTGCAATTAAATTAAAAGCATTAGTTCCATTTCATCTTCAAGCGAATTTTGAGTAACTTTAAAAAAAAAGAATTTTGAGTAACTTTAAAAAAAAACGCACACACACACACACACACACACACACACACACACACACACACACACACACACATATATATATATATATATATATATATATATATATATATATATATATATATATATAAATAAAATGATGGATTAGTATGTCCATAGCTTGACACAGAGTTATTATCTGAATGTTCATTGTCTTATTTTTGTGGAAATGCTTAAATAGACTGGTTCACGCGTCAAAAATAGGGAAAACTTTTTTCGAGAAATAATTTTATAGATTAGCATTCATTAGACCTCAATCTAGCTACACTGATGAGCTGTGATACAGCGAAACGGGCTTGTATTTGGATGACTATATATATATATATATATATATATATATATATATATATATATATATATGAATAAAGAAAGATCGATGGCTAAGCATATATTTATTGTCTTTATTCATCTTGTCCTTTTATAGTTATTTTTTTAAGCATGTGTCAAATTTTTACACACACACTCTCACACACACATACTCTCACGATTTGTTTTTTTTTTAATAATACATATATCGATTATACCTATCCACTAGGGTGAGTAGCAAATCCTGTTGCAGACGCCTGCACAGGCAGATTTGTGTTTTATTCATTACCCACAGAACCAGACTGTGGTTTAAACTTTAAAAATCATCGAACTGTGAAACCGGTAAAGTTAGTCTAAATAAATATTTTAAAAGACTCTAGTTGCTTTTTTTTCAACTTATATATATATATATATATATATATATATATATATATATATATATATATATATATATATATATATATATATATATATATATTTAGCCAGAGTTAATTTAGCCGTATCTACTCCCGTCTAAATTAGCTCTGGCTGACAGGCTTACAATAAATATTCTATGAATTTATAAGTATATATATTTACATCTTTATTTCTTATCCTGCAAAAAGCATCCACCTTTCTTGCTTAATAAATAAATATTGCTAGACATGTTTTTCTGTGTGATTCTCATCTTTCACGAATATACTGTAATAATATCCCCAAAAGTCTACAAATATAATACATGCAGTTCTTGCAAGACTGTGTAATATTTAAATGTGTAATATTTAAATGAAAGTGGAAATCAATGGGTCACAGGCCAAAAGCTATAATGAAGGCGGACGGTTTTAGAAACCCAGAATGGATATAGGATTTTTATTTTAGCATTTATTATTACTAACTGATTTTATGGTGGACATTAACGGATTATGAGCAGAAAAATACGACACATTCGTCGATGAAATCTCGTTATTAGAATAGTTTAGCAAAAAGCAAGGTTCTCTTCTTTCAGATCCAGGTAGAACAATCAATTATGTGAATATTGTCCGAAAATACTTGTCCAAAAACAATTATTTGAATTGTAAATTGTTTGAATGAAATTAATTGAAACGCTAATTATACAGAGGAAATACACAAATGATAATTACAATCCTTATAAACTTAAGTTATATGATATTTCATGCAAATAGTAAACTACTGAAGAGTACTAGTTACACAATGCCACTAATTTTTTTTAAGTTTGCCATTTATGTTTTGATATTTCTTGTACTCGTGATATTTTGGTAACCTGCTCTTACTTTTACAATATGAATTTCTTGAAATCCTGTTCTCTTTTAAGAGCATCCAAGAATTTCCATATTGTTGGATGATGTTGCTGCAAAAAACATTCCTATGCCATCCTTCAACGACGTTATTAGTTCTAGGTAAGCATTGACCCTGTCGAAACAAGACCACCACGTATTTCAAACATAGATATTTCGATAATAATTAGTATAATTGGACTTTCGATTAATTTTCATTCAAACAATTTACAACTCGAATTAATGTTTTTTGAATAACTGTTTCCGAATAATTGTTGTTCAACAATTTGTGTCAAACAATTTTCTCGATACGGATCAATCAACAAATCTTCTTGTTAGAGATTACTTAACGACTGAGATCAGTGCCGTAAAGAAACTCGGAAAAAAAGAAGGAATTCACTGCACAAAATACTCTTTTCTTTCTCCTCCTTCTCCGAATCTTTAACAATATTTATTCTGGACGCTTTCCTTGTGCTTTGGTTACCCTCATATCATATTATTATGTCGAATTTCTTGGTTTCGTGACGGAGTCGAGTGATCAGTGAATTGTTTTTCAATATTTAATCTCTAATTCATTGAATTATCGCTTAAATTATATATATATATATATATATATATATATATATATATATATATATATATATATATATATATATAATAAAAATTGAATGTCAGTTTGTCACTGTGTCACACTTTTTCAATTAAAGGGACACAACTCTGTAAATTTCAATAGCTCAATTTACAGAAATTTTGGATTCCCAATTTTTATTAATGTAACTGTTTTCGGCGATTTTTTATGTGATTTTTTGCGACGATTTTTTTGTACGATAACAATTTTTATAAGTTGGAAATAAATTTAGGAATAATCAAAGTTAATTGCGAAATCCAGCGAAAGTCACCCATGAAATAAAAATTATTGTTTGTGCGTAAATAAGGCACCCAAACTGTCTTTAAATTAAGTGGCGACAGAAGAATTATGGTTGAACTTTTAAAAGTAAGCTTAACTATTAATGCAATACTAAAATGTAGCAATAAATTTTGAGTTCTTCTGTAGTTCATTGTTCATACAGCATTATTAAGCATCGCAAAAAGAAATCTCCACCAACAGAGGACCAGACTGCAATCAAGTCCAGTGCAAATGAAAACCCGGGTCAAACGGTAACCAGGAGAATTTCCAATGCTGAGAATATGCAAAGTCTTCTAGACTCTCAATCTCCTGAACAAGCCAAAGGTCCAATGAAGAGCCTTCCGCAGGAGCTAGTTTAAATGCCGCTCGTTAGGGTGGCTTTTTAAAGTTTATATATATATATATATATATATATATATATATATATATATATATACGAGGTCTGATCAAATAGTATCGGGATCGCTGCTATAAAAGAAAACTACAACGCATGACAATTAATCATTTAATCTCGCTTTTGTCCCCTTCTGAAGTTAGACACTTTATCGATCATTATTTCCATTAATGAAATCATTCGTTGAATTCTTTTTGGGGATAGTGAAAAGCTTTTATTCTAAGTATTCCCTTGCATTTCTTCGACGTCTTGAAATTTTGGTCACTTCAGATGGGGCTTGATTTTCAAAAGGAAAAATTCGCAAGGGGCGATATCTGAGAATATGATGGTTGTCGGTCCTTTGGTAATGTTTCCATTGGTTAAAACTGCCACAGAAGCCATGGACTCTGACAGAAACTCTGTGGTTTGGTGGGCCAACCACACTCTACGCACTTTCCTTCCAAACACTGCTATAAACAACGGAAGTGAGCAAGAACGTTATAACTTAGTATGCATGCGCGACATCGCATGAAAATCTGTGCCAAGCGTCATCAACCTGCGTACATTAGCTCAGTTAACCTAGCAATATTCCCGATACCTTTTGATCAGATCTAATATATACGCATTTATTTATAGTTGGTGAATCAAAAGTTCCTATTCCAACATTCACTCTTATTAATATACATCTGGAAAATATAGGTGGAGAATCTTTATGGAGAGTTTCTAACCCTGTTTTTCTGTTTTCAGCCATATATTACATATTATTTATGAGTGGCAATGTTTTGTACAGTTGAATACATTCATTTTTTTTTTTTGCATATTGGCTCGACGTTTTCTGTCTTCTGAACACGGCTGTAAATTTGCTAGTTTTCTATCTATTTTCATCATGGTGACCGTACATGTCATTAAATGATGGACGACTTAGAAGAGATATGGAACAAAGAGAGGTTAAAGGACTTTTGTGTTCACAGCTTTACTTTGTAATTTATACTTTCTCTTTCTCCATAGACCCATGCAGCACCCAAAAGACCACAAATTCTTCAGTAAATCTTGATTTTTATCACAGTACGAACACAAATTTTGTAAAAATAATTGACGAAAAATGAAGCTAGTGCGGCGAATGGTATATACATTTTTATCTTTTCTTTATGGCGTTTTATTTTACTTACCATTTTTTTTGTTCATGCGTCGGATTTTTATTTTTTTTATTACTTTTTTCATGTGCAACATTTACCCTTTTTCTTTTTCTCACTTATTTGGCGTCTATGATAATTTTTCTTTATTTTCTAAAATCTTTTACTACTTTCATAAATTTATTTTCTTGCACATTGATCCTCGTCCATTTTATTTATTTGACATTGTCTTTCCCATCCAGTCATTATCTATTTATTTATTTTCAAACTTT